GGCACCCCGTGCCAGACTTTTTCCTGCAGACAGTCTGCCTCACCGGGGACTATGTTTATTTGGCATCGGGGATGTCCTTATTTCTAGGGATGAACCCTGCAGTGGATGCTTGATTTTTTAAAAAGAAAACAACAACAACAATAACCATAAAGCAAAATGCAAGTTTGAAGCTGGAAGGAAGAAGCCCCAGGGGGAAATAGGGTAAGGATATGGAAAAATAAAATAAAATAAATGCTGCATTGACAGGATAATTGGCATACAGGCTGGTCGTGAGATATTTTGCACAGCAGAATGATAGCTTTAGGAAACAAAGCCTTTCAATAAGTTGAAGTTTTCCTCCGGGGTCATCGACGGTTCCATGGAGGAGGAATTCTTTAGCAAAATAAATCCAGGCGAATTTTCAAATGCTAAGATTTCTGCACGGTTTGCTTTCGGGTTTTTTTTTTGTTGTTTAATTTAACTTCAGAGTGCACGCTTATAAATGTTAGCCTAAGGTATTGAAATGCCAAAGTTTCTTTTTTACAGATCACCGGGTCTGTAAAATGAGTTTTGCTGTTTAATAAACGCAGCCTAAGACATTGAAAGTCTAAAATTCTACTTCGTGGGATGTATAAAATGTGGGTTGCTTTTCTAAATGCTACTAAACTTTAAAACATGTGCCTCTCCTTTGAAAGGACTATTGTATTACAGTCCAGGAAACTGGCTTTGACTTTCCACTGACACACTAATCAGATTCAAAGCTCTTCCAAGTAAGCGTTTAACAAAAAACCAGAGTGTTTGTCTGTACAGGTGACAATGGCTTTAAATATATATATATATCTAAGCTAAGCAGAGTTGAATATTTGGGAAATAATTTATGGAACAGTCTTAACACGAGATGCCAAGGGTGAAGTTTAAGGCTAACACTGTAGGACTGAACAGAGTTGCAAAGTTTTTAATACATGCAAGAGAAAGCAAAAACTTTTAAGACTTTTTCAGCAGGCAACAAAATGAGGCCACCATTGAAGGGGAATAAGAGCAAATCTAATATTCCAGTTCAAATTCCAAGAAAATTTATCTTAATAATAATAATAATAATAATAATAATAATAATAATAATAATAATAATAATAATAATAATGATGATGATGATGATGATGATGATGATGATGATGATGATGATAATAATAATCTGTTTACCACCTTGAGCTATTTATAAAAAATAACAAAGAAGTAATCAAAATCAAATAAGTAAATATTATCTTTCTGAGCGGGACGGAAGAACAGCTCCATCAAAATCTAGACTAGAGTCACCAAGCCCCCTTTTCCGTAATTAAGCCAGCCAAGTGTTATTTAAAATATCTTTTCCTCCCCAAAACTAGAAAGATGTTATCCAAACACCATCAGTTTATATAGGCAATAAGGATGCAAGTATAATACATGAGTTTTAAAACTTTAGAGAAACTTGTGGGCTCTCCCCCCCCTTCAGGAAATCCTACAGTATTGTGATTTATCTAAGTGAGATCTCGCATCCCTTCCCCCAATAAAACATGTCTTATAATGTGGCATGTTGATATATGGATACAGACCCTGGTTCATTTCCCCCCCACCCCAGGAAGAAATACCACATGGTTGGAGACTAGGCCTTTTATATATTTTCATTCATTGGGATAAATGAAGCTTTCGCTGCCAAGAGGTCTCGGTAATCTATTTATCCTCTGGATTATTTCAAAAAGCTAAAATTGTGGGTGCGCCATCGCTGGAAGTTTTTAAGAAGAGATTGGACAGCCATTTGTCTGGAACGGTATAGGGTTTCCTGCTGGAGTAGGGGGTTGGACTAGATGACCTCCAAGGTCCCTCTCAGCTCTGTTATTCTGTTGTTCGGTATTCCGAATGTGTTTTAAATAAGAGAGCCAAAGCATAATGAGAAAGAGAATTGTTAAAAAAGAGAGCAAGCAGCGTCCAGGGCTACAGGGATGGAATCTGATCTGAAGGATTTGGCCGAAGTCCTGTAACTCAACTATGCACACCATGTGTGGTTGTGTTGCTAGCTAGGGTGCCTGTGCGTATAACAATATTCAGTTCTCATCTCACACTGCTCAGCTTGTGCTTTATCTTCCTCTTTACTGGAGAATTTTTTCCTTGTAACCTTTTAAAAAATCACATTCCCAAATGACAATCCTGGCTAGAAAAACCATGGAGTCCAAGAATTTTAATAGAACAGCTGAGATTGCAGCCAGGATAAATAAAAGCGTCTGGAGACCAAAAAGAAAAAAGGAAAAAAAAAAAGACCTGACAACTCTATTTTCGTTTTATGACACCTCGAGGTTTAGGCTGGACAGTCGTGTACAAGTCGTAAAGTGTGAAATCTGGAAGACTGCCAGGGGCACCAAATGTTAACCATAAATGCTCAGGCTGACTTTAATAAGAGTTTTGAGTGCAGAGTCTTTTGCTGATGCTTTAAAAGGTTACTTCTTTGCAAGTGCTTCTTGTTAAAATGATCTGTATTGTTTATATTCTCCTGTATTGAAAAGAATGCCTCGTAATCAGATTCACAGAACGTAGTCTAATAGGGCTGGAAGGGACCTTGGGGGTCTTCTAATCCTTCCTGTAACTTCCTGGACCTAACATAAAACCTTTCTCCCTTGGAATTATTTCACCCTTTGGAGATTAATCAGAAACTGGGAATTCTAGTTTCTATACAGTAGATTTATTGACTGCTGGAGTCTGTTGGAATTCCTGTTTCTTTAAGAAACTATGTGCCTTTGTTCACAGTCCTGAAAAAAAAGACTTAAGGGAACCATTTGGGATCCTGTCGGGCAATTGCAAAACACTTTTTTTTAATGCCAAATTATCCAGGCAGAGATCACTGAAAAAAATAAATAAATACTCATCCCAGTAAAAGAAAAGGGGCAGATTTCCCTCTGGAAAGTTACAGAAAAGATTATTATCTTGTGTTTAAAAAAAAAAGGTGAGGGGAAGAATTGTCTGGAGGGCTCAGGAGATTAAAAAGACATTTTTTTTGTGTGTAAATAGGAAAATTGCAGAAGGCTGTTGCCTTATTAATATACTGTGAGTAGGTTTAAACTGTCTTTCCTGTTAGGATGATTGAGGCGAAGCATAAGGAGAATAAAAATATGCTTAATGCATAAATATGTGCAGCACAATATATAAAACCACAGAACAAGTAAAATAAACCAGAAGCATGGAAATGTATGAGCAGGCTAAAGCAACAGGAGGGCTTAAACAGACTGGTATTTACTTAAAAGTTTTCTTTAAAATCTCATCTTTCTATCATGGCAGCTTTCTCACACAGGATTGGCAAACACTTTCAAAAGCCTGCAAGGAGACCAGTAGGTAGGTAGGTTGGCAGGTAGATAGGTGGGAAGGTAGAAAAGGAAGGAAGGAAGGAAGGGTAAGGGTAAAGGGGAAGAGGAAGAGGAAGAGGAAGAGGAAGAGAAGGAAAGGAAAGCGAAAGGAACAGGAAGGGGAAGAGAAAGAAAAAGGAAATGAAAGCTAGGGAAGAGGAAGGAAAGGAAAGGAAAGGATGAAGAAAGGAAAGGAAGGGCGAAAGAAGGCAAGGGAGGAGAGAAGGAAGGAAGGAAGGAAAGAAGAAAGAAAGAAAGAAAGAAAGAAAGAAAGAGAGAGAGAGAGAAAGAAAGGAAGGAAAGGAAGGAAGGAAGGAAGGAAGAAAGAAAGAAAGAAAGAAAGAAAGAAAGAAAGAAAGAAAGAAAGAAAGAAAGAAAGAAAGAAAGAAAGAAAGAAAGAAAGAAAGAAAGAAAGAAAGAAAGAAAGAAAGAAAGAAAGAAAGAAAGAAAGAAAGCCTTGAATGAAGCTAACTAAGGAGAAACTTCCTGACAGGGAGAACAATTAACCAGTGGAACCACCTGCCTCCAGAAGCGGTGAATGCTCCAACACTGGAAGTTTTTAAGAAGAGACTGGACAGCCATTTGTCCGAAATGGTATAGGGTTTCCTGCCTGAGCAGGGGGTTGGACTAGATGACCTCCAAGGTCCCTTCCAACTTTATCATTATTATTATTAAGCTCCTGGTTCAGCGTGGACCCCAACCGCCTCTCGGGAGCCAAGCAGGAGAGGGAGAGGGCTTCGAATCCTAATGGCCAGGATTCTCCCTCTCCCAGGGGGAGAGGATGCTGTGATCTCTCTGCTTCCTTTTCCTGTTTATGCAGTCCTTAACTGGTGGGGTGTGGGAGAAAGGTTTGCTCTGAGGCTATTCTGTCCCATCTTGCACATTAAAAGTGGACTTTCTCTGCCCTGACCCGAGCCTTTCTTCCTCCCTTTTCTCCAGAGTTTTGGGAGAGCTGCTGACCCTCCTGCCTTTAACCACAAAGTGCCATTCAGTCTTATATTCGGTTGGGGAATTTGAGAGTGGGCAGCCCTCAAAGCCCTGAATCTGAATAGGATTGCAACGCACTTCGAAGCATCTGCAAGAGTGCTTTTCAGCTCCCAGAATCCCCCAGCTAGCTAGCTAGCTAGCTAGCTAATGCGGCCAAATTTGAAAAACACTCTTTTAGAATTCGGCAACGACTGAATGCAGACAGGCCTCTTCTCTACAAAAGGAGAGGTTTTCCCCAGAAACCGTTTCGTGATGACCCACCAGATCTTCCCATATCTCAGCTTAGCGAAATTCATTTGCTTTCCTGGAGGCTCAACGAATCTGCATTTTCTATCGGTTTTGTTTTTTGCCTCTTTGGAACCACCACTGAAGGAATTAAATATATATATATATGTGCAATTATAATTTCTTAGCTAACCATCTTCTGAGCACACAGCAAAACTGTGTTAATAACTTAGCAATTGCAGTGAAATTGGACAGCCCTTTGTCTGGAATGGTGAAAGGTCTCTTGCTTGCGCAGGGGGTGGGACTAGAAGACCTCCAAGGTCCCTTCCAACTCTGTTCTGTTCTGTTGTGTTCGGGCTGGTGCTACTGCATATTCATCATCTCCCCTTTGTTTTGTGTTTACGGTAGATACTAAACATCTTCCCTTCTGAAACAAGGACAATGAAGGCGGCCGTTTGCTTGCTGCTAATGGCCGCGGTGGGGATCAAGGCGCAGAAGCCCGAAGAGGCCGAAAGCCGCGCGGCGGGAGAGGCGCCAGAATTCGTTTACCGCAACAGATACAAACGCTCTGCCGAGGCCCAGGACAAATGCACTTACACCTTCATTGTGCCCCAGCAAAGAGTAACCGGGGCCATTTGTGTGAACTCCAAAGAGCCCGACTCCGTGCTGGACAACAGGGTGAACAAGCAAGAGTTGGAACTTCTCAACCACGAACTCCTGAAGCAAAAGAGGCAGATAGAGACCCTGCAGCAGCTGGTGGAGGTGGACGGCGGGATCGTGAACGAGGTCAAGCTGCTGCGCAAGGAGAGCCGCAACATGAACTCCCGCGTCACCCAGCTGTACATGCAGCTGCTGCACGAGATTATCCGGAAACGGGACAACGCGCTGGAGCTGTCCCAGCTGGAGAACAAGATCCTCAACCAGACGGCCGACATGTTGCAGCTGGCGAACAAGTACAAGGACCTGGAGCACAAGTACCAGCACCTGGTCACCATCGCCAACAATCAGTCATTCGTGATCGCACAGCTGGAGGAGCACTGCCAAAGGACGCCGTCCGCCAAGCCGGTGCTGCCGCTGCCGCCGCCAAACCGCGTCTACCAGCCGCCCACGTACAACCGCATCACCAACCAAATATCCACCAACGAAATCCAGAGCGATCAGAACTTAAAGGTCCTACCGCCGACTCTTCCCACCATGCCCCCCGTCACCAGCGTCCCAACGTCCACCGATAAGCCCTCAGGTACGTCAATACCTCGGTTTTTAGTACGGTCACGGACCGTACACGGTAGAGGTAGTTAGTCCTCGGCTTACGACGGGAACGGAGCCCTGGATTTGTCTTCCAGACATCAGAGAGTCGCAAGCTTGTTTTGGGGGATGCGGTGGTCCCTGGCAACAATTTCTGTTGCTAAGCGAGGCAGTTGTTCAAATGAGTCTCGCCCCCCTTTTGCGATCTTTCTTTTAATGAATCGCTACAGTTGTTAAGTTAATAACACGGCGGGTAAGTGAATCTGGCTTCTTTCCCACTGACTTTGCTGGTCGGGGGAATTGCAAAAGGGGATCACGTGACCCCGGGATGCTGCAACTGTCATAAATATGAGTTATTTGCCACATGGCTGGATTTTGATCACGTGACCCTGGGGATGTTGCAATACTTGTAAATGTGAAAAATGGTCATAAGCCTCTTTTTTCAGTGCTGTTGTAACTTACAATAGTCACTAAACCATCTGTTGTAAGTTGAGGACTACCTATATGTCCTTCCTTCTTTCCTTCTTCCCTCCCTCCTCTTCCCATCTCCTTCCTTCCTTCCTTCTCTTTCTATCACCTTCCTTCCCTCCTTCCTCTTTCCATTTACCTGCCTTCCTTCTTTCCTTCCTTCCTTCCTCTTTCCATCACCTGCCTTCCTTCTTTCCTCCCTTCCTCCCCTCCCCTTCCCATCTCCTTCCTTCCTTCCTTCCTTCCTTCCTTCCTTCCTTCCTTCCTTCCTTCCTTCCTTCCTTCCTTCCTTCCTTCTCTTTCCATCACCTTCCTTCCCTCCTTCCTCTTTCCATT